GTTGTATATTCACATATATATATATATATATATATATAGGCATTAATAGCTTATTTTATCTCCTCGTAATTTTCTGTTGAACACACATGATGCGAGAGAACGCAACGTTCCGTTTGCTATACGTGCGATCGATTTTTTGCGTGTTGCAACGTGTCGTAATACGATAAAGGATTATCCGAGAGTTCGCCACACGGGACCGCGAGAGCAAAAAATCGCGAGCGAAATTACGAATTAGGGAGAGATCGTTGAAAACGACCGACGACGACGACGACGATTGACGATCGTGTATCGCTTCTCGGAATGTCTCAACAAAGTGCTATCGTGCAAACGAGTAATACGAGCTCGGACATGACGCCCGTACTTGGGGCTCTACAGTCCGTGGGACCTAATAATCAAACATCACCGGCTCTGCCCGGTGTACAGAGCGGTGGCGCTACGACGACCGCCGTGCAGTCGCAAACGCAATCTCAGCAAACTCAGTACGTCCCACAGCCCTCGAAACCGGTGCAGCAATCGTCTACTCCAAGTTCTTTTAGCGATTTCCCACAGGTATGTGTAACTCTCTCGAGAGAAAAGCGACGGGAAAACACTTTTCAGGGTAACACTGATTTGGTTACATTGGTTTTTCGCACCATACGCGCCAGGCATGATCATTTTCACAAATATCTCGTGCATAACGAGATTTGACATGTGATATTTCTCTCAATCTTGACATTTATCCGATGATGTAATTTTATGCGATATAATTCGTCGTTGTTTCTCTCGATTCTTTCATTCGCAACATTTACCTACGTTTAACGTACAACCAAAATTGCTATTCAATTTTAGTTTTTGACGAAAACGAGATTACAAGATTTGGTAAAGGAGGTAGATCCCACTGAACAGTTGGATGAAGAAGTAGAAGAGATGCTTTTACAATTAGCAGATGATTTTGTGGAAACTACGGTAAATGCAGCTTGTCTGCTAGCTAAACATCGTCATGCGAATACAGTGGAAGTTAAAGATGTACAATTACACTTAGGTAAGTTATATCATAGGCTATTGCATTATGTAATGTGTTAAAAAAATTAATTTATTGATTAATTGATGGAAAATTATTTCTATTATCTTGAATTACCACTTTTATATTTTACTTTTCATTCAGATATTCGTAATCTAATATTATTAGATTTATCTAAGTCCAAAATAAACAAGCAAACATTATACATATTTTTATTCTTATTTTCTATTGAGCAAAACATATGTACATATATATTTTGAAATATAAAATTCTTAATGCGTACAGCTTGGTGGAATTTGGTTGTTGCAAAAAGTCATATAGAGAAATGTTACAAATATAAATGTTACTCATGATATTTTCATTTTTATTAGAAAGAAATTGGAATATGTGGATTCCTGGTTTTGGTACAGACGAGGTACGTCCATATAAGCGAGCTACTGTTACCGAAGCACATAAACAAAGATTGGCACTCATACGAAAATCAATCAAGAAATATTAATGCTTTTGTAAATCATGCTGTAATTTATCAATTCTTTGAAAATTAAATTTGTATTTTATATATTTTTAAACTTAACTGTTGCCGTTTGACAGTGAACTTCTTTTGACAAAAACATTTATATTTTAAAAATACTTGTTCAACTTGTACATATAACATCCTTTTCACACGTGTCGATTGTTTTTTTTTTCTCTTTATACGATTTTATTATAATATAGGATAATAAAGTATATTCGTGTTATGAAAATTGCATCTTCTAAATTTGTGTCACATTTCTTTATGTACACCCAAGTTATCTGTAGAAGATATATGTGAGTAAGCAACTTGTGGAATCAATTCCACTTCTTTCAAATATTTCTTTATATAAATTTCTATATAAATTTAAAAAATGTATATAAGATGAATATAAAAAGAATTACATAAAAACCTTCTGAACATCACACATTTCTTTTGTGAGCTTGAATAACTGTTGCTTGTTGCTTTTTCACATATTCAAATATGAAAAAAATATTTTCTTTGTTCTAAATACTATTTCCTGGTATTCGCATATAAGGCTAAAGAAGACATTGAAACAACATATTGTATTTTTTGCAAAATACTATTTAAAAATGCAGAGAATATATTATAAATTATAGAAACTTGTGTACAGATATTACACGAATAAGGCGAAAAACAGCGATCATTCATTCGCAATATATAAACATCATACAAATATATTATAAAGAAAATGTTTGTAAGCAGATTTCGCATGTAGCGCATATTAAAAATATATAATTATCTGTGTTCATACGCCTATTACATATCTCATTATACATATGTGTTATAATTCAAATAGCGCTGACAATATATTTAGGATCGTATTGATTCTTTTTTTAATCTTTCATTATAATTATTAGGTATATCGTCGATAATATATTTAGATTCTCAAAATGTTTCTCAAAAGGTTTCGTTTTCAGGAAAAGTTTCAAGAAAAGCACATTTAGAAGTTAAGATTTTCTTCGGATTCACAAGTTGTAGATGTTGTGATACAATTAACACAAATTCAAACGTTTTGCACGGGCAGCTACTTGTCGCAGCCAAAACAATCCATCAGAATAATCCTATATCTTTTTTAAGATTCACCTGCTTCCAGACTGGAAGCTGTTGAAATTCTTCTTTGCTCATTCCCAGTAGTTCCTAAAACACAAGATATAAAATCTAGCGCATGTAAAAACATATTTGGTAATTTGAACTACTACTAATTAATCTATACTACTAACTTGAAAATGTTGTTGGGATAAATACAACTCCAGGCGTGTTGGATCGACTCCGTCAGGTAAAGGTCTTTGTAATAGCTGAGCAGGAGGATAGGTACTTTGCGTTAGGCGAGCCAATTCATTTTCCACGATGAGTACTTCTCCTGGATTTCGGCCATCCTAGTATAATATATATATATATATATAAATAATCGTATATCTATGTTATTT